TCATCACAATAATATGCAGCCGAGAACAAATGTTCTATATTTGATGAGTGTTTTCACTTTCTTTTTTGCTTAATTACATACCAGCTTGCCTCTGGCTTGATTCGTGGTATATGCACCACGTGGTACCACTCATTTTGTTTCCCAATGCATAGTTTCTCTCCTAACACATATTCACTCTGTATTGTTCACCTAGGCAATACTTCAACAGCAAACACCATGTCCTGCATTTCCTCTATGACAGCTGAACTTGCATATGTTATACCTTTAGACATCGTCTTCTATTTTGATTAATTTATTAACACCAAAAATTGTGCATTTTCTCTATATGCCATGTTTAAATCTTGGATTACTTGATAAAACCTGGCTTGTTTTTGCTGTCATGGCACCACAAGCATGTTTGTTACTCACTGCACTCAATAAATAAAGAATGTAAAAAATATTTAAATAAATAGATAAATACAATCTCAGATGAACAGCAACACATGACACGTTACAGCATGTCATGATTTATTTAACAAAAATAAAGCCACAATGGAGAATCCATGTGTGAAAAACTAAGTACACCCTTACTGCATTCACAGGAATTAAAGGGACTCTCCAGTGCCAGGAAAACAAACTGTTTTCCTGGCACTGCAGGTCCCCTCTCCCTCCCACCCCCCATCCCAAGTTGCTGAAGGGGTTAAAACCCCTTCAGTGACTTACCTGTATCCAGTGCCGATGTCCTCAGCGCTGTGTGAGGGTCCGCTCATGCCCGTCCCCCGCCGACATCATCCGGGGGGGGGGAGACCTATTGAGCATCCACGGCCACCGGCGGGGGAGACCTAATGTGCATGCGCGGCAATACCGCTCACACGCATTAGACCTCCCCATAGGAAAGCATTGAAAAATGCTTTCAATGCTTTACTATGGGGATTTCAGCGAAGCTGGAGGTCCTCACATAGCGTGAGGACGTCCAGCGACATTATAGCACACTTTTCATGTGCTATAAACACGGAAGTGCCCTCTAGTGTCTGTCTAGTAGACAGGAGTTAACCCTGCAAGGTAATTATTGCAGTGTATGAAAACTGCATTACTTACACTTGCAGGGTTAAGGGAAGTGGGAGTTGGCACTCAGACCACTCAAATGGGAAGAAGTGGTCGGGGTGCATGGAATGTCCCTTTAAGAGGTTTTGTAACAGACAGGTGCTGCTCATCAAATGCCCTTGATTAATTTATCATCAGCAAGTGTGACCGCCTCTATAAAAAACAATGTTTTAGTAGTTTACCAAGAAGGAAAGACATTACCAACAATCTTAGAGACGCAATTGTTTCTGCCTGTCAAACTGTGAATGGTTATAAGGTTATTTCCAAACAAGTTAAAGCGCCTTCAATCTACAGTGAGAAAGATTATTCAAAAGTGGAAAACATTCAACACAGATGACAAACTTCCCAGGAGTAGACGTCCCAATAAATTGGTCAGAAAAACAAAAAAAACAAAGGTCAGAGAAATTGCAGAAAACAAAGTTACATTTCAGATTCCACATGCCTCAGTTAGCAAGTTAAATGTTAAAGTTTATGACAGTACAATTATAAAAATACTGAACAAGTAGGGTTTGTTTGGAAGTGTTGCCAGGAGAAAACCTCTCATCTCTAAAAAAAAACATGTTAACATGTTAACGTGGCTTTGGTTGGCATCTAAACAAATCACAAGACCTTGGTCCTTCTCATAGATGAGACCAAAGTGGAGATGTCTGGCCAAAATCCAAAGTGCCACATTTGGAAAAAACAAACACATATCAGTACAAACACCTCATACCAACTGTCAAGCATGGTGGTGGAGGGGTGAGGATCTGAGCTTTTTTTTGCTGCCACAGGACCTGAGAACATTGCAGTCATTAGGTATACCATGAACTCCTCTAGCACTAAGTCTTTCTCCTGTGGCTATCACAGACAGCCACTAGAGGGCTTCCTGAATCAAAATACACCTTTGGTCCTGTAACTGATCCTGGACGTCCTCAGGCTCTGCATGAGGACACCCAGCATCAGATTTTTCCATTAGGAAAGCATATGCGCATTAGCGCCGGCTTGTTGCGGGACATCGGAGGAGGTGGAGTCGCGATCTAGCACCAAGGGACATCATCGCTGGGGTAAGGTAAGTAAATAAAGGGTTTTTAACTTTTTATTCATGTCAGAGGAGGAGGCAAACCAAAACCCATGAAACCGCTAACAGATGTTTGGGAAGTTAAAAGTTTGTTGCGAAAAGTTTCAAGGTAATTGACTGATGTTCAGGAACATTATATTACACAGGGGTCAAGTCCTGGGGGACAAAAAGTGTGGGAACTTACCAAAGATCCACCCAACCCCCCCAAAAAATGCATGGATGGGAACATGGGGAGGCGCATGGCAGGGCGCAGTGTGTGTGTGAGTGGTGCAGTGTGTGAGGGATACGGTGTGTGTGAGGGGGCAGTGTGTGAGGGGTGCAGCATGCGTGTGTCTGAGGGATATAGTGTGTGTGAGGGGTGAAGTTTGTGTATGTTAAAGGTGCAGTGTGTGTGTGAGGGGTACAGTGTGTTTGAGAAGTACAGTGTGTGTGGGGGTGCTTTGTGTGTGTGTGGAGTGTACTGTGTGGGGGGGGGTGATACTGTGTGTGGGGGGTGGTACTGTGTGTGTAGGGGGGTGTACAGTGTGTGTGGGGTACAGTGTGTGTGTGGGAGGTAATATGTGTGTGTGGGGGTGGTACAGTGTGTGTGCGGGGGATACAGTGTGTGTGTGGGGCAGATTAAAAAAATATATATTTGTTTTGTTTTTTTAAATTAAAAGAAATCATCTTTAGATCCTCCCTCCCTGCTTACCTTTGGCAGGGAGGGGGGATCTTTCTCAATCCCTGGTGGTCCGGTGGAGAATCCCTGGTGATCCCAGTGGTGAGAGTGAATTCTAGCTGTGACAAACCCTGAAGTGGTAGCTAGGATTTCGGACTTCCAATAGTCTATTATTCCAGAGAAGATGCAACGTTCATGCAGAATTTCCCAAAGCAGTAATCAGGTACCCAAACATCAGCCGAAACATGATGAAGAGTGTAACAGGAATGAAATTTTATTGTGCCACTCTGGCTTTTATGTGATTCTATAGACCAGAGGAGCACCCCCGGGACCTGATGGAAAACAGGGACACAACTTATTACAACCAATAACAGTACTGGGACAAACAGTGACACTCCCAGTACAAACAGTTAATTCCCTCCTCTCTCCCTGGAGATAATTGGGTCAGATAAAGTAATAACTTAATTATCTCTGGGCAGAGGGAACACAATTTTCACAATACTTGAAAAACACCCCAAAACACAGGAACCCCACAAATGTCACATCCCTTGATAGTTTTGTTGACCAACATATCCAAAAATCACCCAAATCGGTTCAGGGGTTTTAGAATTTCATGGAAGTCCCACCGCACACGAGGCTCCTGCCCAGAACAGTTCCATGTGTTTAGGCTGTGCGGTCGGTCTATTTCATTAAGTCACATCCCTTGATAGTCTGGGTGACCAACATATCCAAAAATCACCCAGATCGGTTCAGGGGTTTTAGAATTTCATGGAAGTCCCACCGCACACGAGGCTCCTGCCCAGAACAGTTCCATGTGTTTAGGCTGTGCGGTCGGTATATTTCATTAAGTCACAAAACCGAACAAATGCACGAATAGGTCCCTCTGGCTCATAGCAGCAATTGTTCCCCTGGTTCGTGGGAAACAAACTACCAAACAGCGCTCTCCTAGCTGTTTGGGAAAAGGAAGCAGATGTTCATCAGTTTGACCGGTGTTTCGGGAAGTCGAGTGTCCGATTTTAGTTCCAGACACACGACGACCAAGTCCCGATGCCTCCTTTCGTGTAAACAAGATGGCCGCCGTTTTCTCTTCCACGTGGCATTTGGCTATAGGAACAGCGGCCACACATAGAGAGCGCTTAATTGATGGTTTCCTTTAGTAATAATGAACCAGTGGGGCGGTTGGTCATTCAGTAGTTTGAAAACTACAGAACAAATAAACGAAATATAAACAAACATCTGAAATTGTACACGAACAAAGTAAGAAAATGCTGATTTTCTCACACTAGCCTTTTGGGCTAGAGTTCACTCTCGTGAGATCCGGAGCATTGCCACAGTAACTGCGGCAACGCTCTGTGCTCGCGAGAGAAGGGTCCGGAGGAGCTGCAGACTGAACTCCCAGGTCCTCTCTGCCTCCCTGCCGGCTGCCCGCACAGTTCCTGCGGAGCTGGGAGGTAGATCACCGGTCTGTGAAGGCACATAGTAGGGCTGACGCTTGGATAGCACTGGCCCTGCAGGGGACTCCTGCAGGACTACTAATGGGAGCCACATTCCTGATGTGGAAAAAGTGCAGGAAAAATTGGCACTGTCACTTCACAATCATTTCCTCTTCTCTTCCATCTTTTGATATTTTTTATTTATTTCTAAGTAATGACATAAAAAAGAAGGGACTAGGCAGGGTCAGAGTCAAATTTTGGGGTTAAAGTTTAGCCCCCCCACCATCTTTAAATTTTACCAACAACCACTGGAACACCCCAATTACAACCAGTAAAAAAACATCCAGTAATTTACACCACTGACAATGCTATTTTTGCTTCACCAAGTGCCTCTGTGGGCGAGTCTCTATTTATGCACTGTTTAATGTTGATATATAGGGTTGGATGGATATATTTCATGTTGCTTTTGGTTTTATTTCACCATCTAGGTCTTCCTTTTAGAGTGTATTTTAACTCTGGTTAACAATGCATCTGCCTAAACATATCTTGTACATCTTATTCATAAATATTAGTTTTACTAAATATTTTTAGTCATTTCGCTGTTTGTCAGCTTTCTCTACAAGCATAAATCAAATTAATCAGAAAACAGTTTTTTTAAAATATTAATTTATTAAATATATTCATAAATTTGAGTTGCTAAAGACACACATTTTAAAAAATGCAAATTTCTTCAATTATTCTTTTATCATGAATGCCCTAGTGTTTTTTTCTGGTCTAATAAGTATAACATAACACTTGGGAATAAATATACACCCCAGCAATCCCGTGCTAGATGTCAGGATTGCAAATATCTCCACAGCCACAACGTACTTCCCTTTGGTGCTCAGATAGGCTGGGATAAAAGAGATCCACACACTGAGGAATACTAACATGCTGAAGGTAATAAACCTGGCTTCGTTGAACATATCAGGAAGGTTCCTAGCTAAAAAAGCTATAAAGAAACTAACAAAGGCCAGAAATCCCATGTAACCCAGCACACTATAAAATCCAATCTGTGACCCATCATTACATTCAGCTACTATCGTCCCAACTTCAACTTCCGTGTTTTCATCTGGATACGGAGGAGAAATTCCTAACCAAGTACAACATATTATTACTTGGATCAAGGAACAGCATAGTAAAATGGAATTAGAAGATCTGGATCCAACCCAGTGCTGTAACTTGCTTCCCGGCTTGGTGGCATTGAATGCAATAATTACTGTCACTGTTTTGGCCAAAATGGATGAGACAGAGATGGAGAAAATTATTCCAAACACAGTTTGTCTCAGAATACAAGTTAATTTATGCGGAGAACCAATAAATAGCAAAGAACATAAAAAACACATTTTTAGAGAGACAAGAAGAATGAAGCTTAGATCTTGGTTGTTAGCTTTCACAACTGGGGTATTTCGGTGTTTTATGAGTATAGTTGTAACTGAACAAGTGATAAAAAATAACAACACTGATGTCACAGCCAGAGATTCACCAAGTAGATCTTCATAGGAGAGGTATGTTATTAGTTTAGGGATACATGTGTCTTTCTTCTCATTAGGCCATAGACGGTCTGGACACTTTCTGCATGTTTCCATATCTATAAACAGAAAATAATATATTTAAAAAGATAATGTGAACATATTTTCACTGAGGAGCTCTTTGCAAAATTGTATATATTAAAGGGACACTACAGTCACCAGAACAACTACAGCTTATTATATTTGTTCTGGTGAGTAGAATTATCCCTTTCAGGCAGTGTTCACATTACAGCCTAGGGATAACTCCACTGGCCACTTCTCAGACGGCTGCTAGAGGTGCTTCCTGGGGCAGTACTGCACAGTGTGACTGACATTCAGTGCAAGGACTTTTGGGTACACAGGCGAAGATGATTTTGGCGCCCTACACCGCCTCTCACCCCCACCCTAAAGCATCTTCACCTGTGTGCCTCTTAACCCACCTCTTGCTTCTTACCACCAGTAACGGAGCTCCCTGTACTCCTACTGAGTACCCTCCGTTGACGGATGCTCCTAGCGCTTCCTGAGGACTCCAAGCACTGCAGCAGACACCACAACCACCGCAGACTCCGCAACCGCCGTATCTTGACTGGAGTCTCGCCGTCTTCCTTCCACCCTGGATCAGCTTCTGTCCTCCAGGACCGTGTGGGGAAGACCTCTCCTCCAGGAGAGCGTAACAGGAACAGCTCTTAAAAGAGCTAAGTGATTAAAAGCTCAGGGGAGTATGCAGAGCATAGCAATCCCCAGTGTGATTATAACAGCTCCCTCCAATAACGAGACAAGGCTACGCTTAGAGGGATCAAGAAGAACTGTCAAAACCTTTATTCCCTTGGGACCAGCCAATACAGTCACCACAATAACATTGTTGTGAAACCTCAATAAAATCACAAACAGTCAAACCATATCAAGAAACACACAGTGACTTATCACAACACAATGGCACATTTTTAAAGGGGTGTGGGGAGACAATATTTAACAGTAAATATCTCACCTGCCTGCAGAATTAGCAATATGCAAATCTACCCGAATATGCAAATGAACCAGTCTTGCAATTCAGGTAGTGCATATTGCTGTTGCTACCAACAGAGGGCACTAGACCAGCTCCATAGCTAAACCCACCTAGTTGGTAGCAAACCTCAGCAATACAAGAGAGCAGGCAATACATTACACAGTACATACACACACACACTATAAACAATTACATTACACACACCCTGCACCTATAATGGGTACAGGGTGACTAAAACATAAGATAAACAAAGCAGCCTACATAAATAGTCCGTCTGAAGGTAGACTAGGGGCTTTAAAGCCATATACATGAAAGAGTCATAGTCACAGGGGAGGAGGCTGGCAAGTAGGCCTCTCCAGGACCAAGTGGCGAAGGGCACTTCATCACACCACCTTTCTTAAATGTCTTACCCCCTTTAGTGTATCTTATCCCCTATTTTTGTCTATAACACTATAGGACATGGGAAGGGGGAAGAACACAATCTTGTGCATCTTTCACAACCCCCTTTGTGTGTATTACTTCCACAGCCCATTCGTGTGTCTCCTTCTCTCCCAGCCCCTTTGTATTTTTTACTCTTACCAGTTTCTTTGTGTGTTTCTCGTTCACTACCAGCCTGTCTATCTCGTCCCAGCCCTTCTGTGTCTCTTTTTACTCCAGCCCCTATGTGTCTCTTTCACCCCAGCCCCTTTGCATTTCCACCTCCAGGCCCCTCTGTGTGTCACTTTCATCCCCAGCCAATCTGTGAACCTTTTCACCCCCAGGCCCATCTGTGTGTCATTCACAGCCCTCATGTCCCTCTGTGTGTCTTTCTCCCCACCCAGCCCCCCCGTATGCCACTCTTCCCTCCATTTTCCTTAGTGTTCCTCTCTCCTACCCTCTATGTCTATTAGTGTTCCCCCCTTACCTGTCTCTTAGTGCCCCCCCATACCTCTTAATGTTCCTCTCCCTGCTCTTTTAGGGGACCCCCTACCCCAGTGTTCCTTTTCCCTTCCCTCCCCTGTACCTTCCCTCCCTTCCCTCCCCTGTACCTTAGTGCACCCTAGTGTTCCTCATCCTTCCATCTTTTTCAGTGTTCTCCACCCATAGTGTTTCCCCCCTTCCCCATAGTGTTCTCCCCCAGTCCAGTGTTTATCCCCCTCCACATAGTTTTCTCCCCCCTCATAGTGTTTCCACCTCCCCTATTGTGTTCTCCCCCCCTCTCCTGTCCCATTGTGTTATCCCCCCTCTCCCCTGTCCTATAGTGTTCTTTCCCTGTCCTTTGTCCCATAGTGTTCTTTCCGCCCCCTTCCCTGTCCCATAGTGTTCTTTTCCCCCAACCTCCCCCTTTCCCATAGTGTTCCTTACCACCCCGCATAGTGTTCCTTATGACCCGCCCATGTCCCATAGTGTTCCTTACAACCCCCATCCCATAGTGTTCTTTTTCCTCCCTCCCCTGTCCCATAGTGCTCTTTCATCCCCCCACATCCCATAGTGTTCCTTACAACCACCCAGTTCCATAGTGTTCTTTTTCCCTTCTCCCTGTCCCATAGTGCTTTTCCACCCTGTCCCATAGTGTGCCTAACCAACCCTGCTCCCCTTGTCCCATAGTGTTCCTTAACAACCCCCCCCCCCCACATCCCATAGTGTTATTTTTTTCCCCCTCCCCTATCCTATAGTGTTCTTCCAGTTTTCTTTACCTGGCCGAACTGACAGGAAGTGTTCTCTCAGTAAGCACTTCCTTTCAGTCTGACTGGGTTAAGGAAACAGATGTTCCTGTACCATGGTGCGCACTACTCTGCTGGCCACGCTACACAGAGTGACTGGCAGGAGGAGAGTACTGTGTGCTCTCCTCCTGCCAGTCACTCCAATGTAGCACCCCCCGGGCCAGTGTGCCCTAAGGTGTCCGCTTGTGCCGCCTTATGGACGCGCCGGCCCTGGTCTAAGATTGCAGAATTGTATCTGGGGAGATTCAAAAGCAGCTGAATAGGCCTACAAAGTTAGGTTTTGAGGTTGCCACATTTGAGACTATACTGGGAAGCTAGTTCACTAATGCATGTAAATAGGATACAAAGTATGTACTAAAAGGATCTTGATTGGTGGGAGATTGAGAACTCGATGTTCGGTCGATGTTCGGTCTACCCAATTTGGTCAACTGGTATGTGCTGTTTCATGCAAACCAAATTGTCAGGTTCACCCCAAATTAAGGGAGGAGTATGAAGCCTATCCAACTTAATTAAGGCAGGATAAGTGTCCTTCGAGTCAGTCAATTCTAAATCTATCAGGTAAGGCAAGCAACTCAAAGTGTGGCAAGGGCCACATAAACAAGGTTTAAGTTTATGTGGGCCGCACACACACACACACACACACACACATACCCACTGACAGACACACACACACACACACACACTCACAGACAGACAGACACATACAGACACACTGACAGACACACAGTCTGACATAATCAGAAGTGGTAGCCTGATCCAATCACAATGCTTCCCTATAGGATTGGCTGAGACTGACAAGGAGGCAGATCTGGGGCAGAGCCAGCATGATTCAAACACAGCCCTGGCCAATCAGCATCTCCTCACAGAGATGAATTGAATCAAATAATCTCTATGAGGAAGGTTCAGTGTCTGCATGCAGAGGGAGGAGACACTGAATGTTTGGATGCATTTTAGGCAGCCATGAACCAGGAAGGATCTCTAACAGCCATCTGAGGAGTGACCAGTGAAGTTATCACTAGGCTGTAATGTAAACACTGCATTTTCTCTGAAAAGACAGTGTTTACAGCAAAAAGCCTGAAGGGAATGATTCTACTCACCAGAACAAATTCAATAAGCTGTAGTTGTTCTGGTGACTATATAGTTACATAGTTACATAGCTGAAAAGAGACTTGCGTCCATCAAGTTCAGCCTACCTCACATTTGTTTTTTGCTGTTGATTCAAAAGAAGGCAAAAAAAAACAGTTTGAAGCACCATTTTGCAACAAGCTAGGAAAAAAATTCCTTCTTTACCCCAGAATGGCAGTCAAATTTATCCTTGGATCAAGCAGTTATTACCCTACATTGAAAGATTATATCCTTGAATATTCTGTATTTGCAAGTATGCATCTAGTAGCCATTTGAACATCTGTATGGACTCTGATAAAATCACTTCTTCAGGCAGAGAATTCCACATCCTGATTGTTCTTACAGTAAAAAAACCTTTCCTTTGCCTTAGACGAAATCTTCTTTCTTCTAGTCTAAACGCATGGCCTCGTGTCCTATGTAAAGTCCGGTTTGTGAATAGATTTCCACACAATGGTTTGTATTGGCCCCGAATATACTATAGTGTCCCTTTAATGAGTTGAACAGGATATTATATTTGAATGATTCCAAGACATTCACTTACCTGTGTCATTAGTTATTTCACCTTGAGGACAAGGGACACAATCGTAGCAACAGGATAATCGGGATTGTTTATATGATTTTCTGTACCCAGGGATACAGCCAGGGGCGGACTGACCACTCGGGCACTTCGGTCATGGACCGAGGGCCCGAGGCAGTCAGGGGCCCGGCAGCACAGCTATGTTCCAGCTGGAGAGATCAGAGATCTCTCCAACTGGAACGGCAAAAAAAAAAAAAAAACTTTTTAATTGATAGGTTGTGGGGCCCCTGATGCAGCGCGGGGCCCCACAACCTACCACTCTCTAAATCCCCCCCTCCCTCCCATGAGACCTGGCAGCTTCACCTCCTCTCTGCCAGGTCTCCTTCTCCCTGTCCCACGCGGTGCTCTGTGTGATGGGGAGAGGGGCCAGGAAGTGACATCACTTCCTG